AGGTGGAATGTGAAGGTGCACTGTGATTTCATATGTGAAGGTGGAATGTGAAGGTGCACTGTGATTTCATATGTGAAGGTGGAATGTGAAGGTGCACTGTGATTTCATATGTGAAGGTGGAATGTGAAGGTGCACTGTGATTTCATATTGAGGGTGAGGCCTTCCGAGGATTACCTCATGCGTTCTGTTTATGATTGGGGGCGTGATTCGGGAATAAACTGCGTTACGACACGGCAAGGGCGACTTTGAATCGGATGTGAAGGTGGAATGTGAAGGTGCACTGTGATTTCATATGTGAAGGTGGAATGCGAAGGTGCACTGTGATTTAATATGTGAAGGTGGAATGTGAAGGTGCACGATGGTTCCACGTACGGAGTTTCTATTTTTGTAATACGTATTAAGAGCATATCAACATGGGACGTGGTTGCGCCGAGAGCTTCGCCATCTTTTGCCGGGAGCGGCGGGAACGCTAGATATATTCATTTCTTTTTTAGCCAATTCCGACTCTCTATCTCTGCCACCACAGCGCCACCTGTCAACACGCGCGGCCATGTGCCGGGCAGGGGAACGAGTAAGTCATATAGACCCATGAACATCTCCATCCAACATCAGCTGTATCTGACCATTCCTCAAAAAGTTATGACCAAACAAATTTTGATTATTACGAGTCATCAGCCAGCTCTGCTCGACCATATCTTTTGAAAGGACTCTCGGACGCAGATAATGTTTGGCAGAGAGGCTCGTGGGCCAAATAGCTTTTTTTTTTCTCGAGACTAGATAGAAGACGCCGCGGTAGACATCAGCGCCCACTTTTGGCATGCAGCGCCATCTTGCGGCACGGGAAAAAACCTCCTTGGCTCATGAACCTCTCTGCCAAATACGAGCTGAAAGTTATTGCCAAATCACGGTGGTGACTTTATGATGCATTTGCCAACACTCTTTTGCCAATTTGGGTCAAGAGGGCAAACGACTCTCGAGAATTGCACAATTCGCCAAGGTCGTTTACGCAGTCCGCAGCGGGGCCGCTTCATGCAAGTCTGCCGCGGGACGCTTTATGCAAGTCTGCCGAGCATGACCGCGCGCCCGGGAGAGAACATCCAGGGCAACGGAACATCCTCCTCCTCCCCCCCCCCCCCCCCCCCCCCCCCCCCACCCCCCCCCCCCCCNCCACACCCCCCCCCCCCCCCCCCCCCCCCCCCCCCGAATAAAAAGGGACAGCGGGGCATCGGACGCCCGCTGTGTTCGACCCAGTGCGAGAAAGGGAACCCGACCTCCGCAGCATCCGTCCTCACGATGAGTGTCCTCCGCCAGGTATTTCTTTCCCCGTTCCCAAATTTTTGCCTCCGCGTTCCAAACTTTTATAAATTATCATTTATATATTATGGTATGATACTGCGCATCGGTTGAAGTGGATTTAAAAAAAATTTTTTTTTGCTTAAAAAGTAACTTGGACGAATTTTTGTTGTGATACGGATGACAGGAAATTCCTTTCAGCGCGTTATTTACAATTATGCAGAATTGTAAGTTAATTACATATTAGTTGTAAGTTAATTACATATATTCTGTTTTGACGCATTTCAATAACCGGCAACATCAGGGGACCTGCGCCCCCTCCCCAAAAAAAATTTGAGACGAATTTGCGGAAAATGAATCCCTCCCCGATGCAACATTTAATCGCGAGACGATTTTTTTGCAGAAAAAAATAGCGGAATGCGAATCGATTCAAAATGTTCAAAACATATGTAGAACCCAGAATGTATGTAATATATATGTGTGTGTAGAATAATATGTAATAAATGCAGAAAAAAAGGGAAAATTTGAAATATTTTTTTAAATGGAAAACTTGCTGGAAGCTGCTAAATGAACGACTTCAAGCTGCCCTTTAAATGCAGGACGAGCGGCACGGATTTAATCTGGTCGCCTGTTTTCCTGGAGTACTTGGGAGTACTTGGGAGTACTTTTCGGGACTGGCAGTCGATTTTTTTTTTCGCATTTCGGCATCATTTATGAATTTTTTTTTTTTTTGCAGTCTTCTTCAAAAAAAAAAAAAATCCGCACGCGGCTGCAGGCAGTTTACGCGCGGAATTAACATTCGATTAACGGTGAATTAACATCTCCGACGGAATTGTGGGCAACGTCGAGCGAGTCGCCCCTCATCGAGGTTATAATTTATTTGAATGATTTACGTGAATTAATTTATTTCCGTATCGGTACCGTACCGCATGATTAATTTTCATTCCGTACCATCAGACGTTCCCCAGTTTCTCGAGACATTTTCTCCTCTCGTTCGATCAAATCGTTGTGGCAATCGGCGATTGAGCACAAAACCAGGCAATATTGCTTGATCCGCGCGACGTTTTACATTCCGACAGATGTTTTATTTTGGTACCAATAATTAAATTAATTAAATGAAATCGGCATTTTTCGCGTGAATCTGTTTTCTCAAAGCTGATTGAAATCCGATGTGCAGGTTCCCGTTGCGACAGCCCTCATCCTCCTCCTCGTGGCTGATGCCTCCACGTCGAACAGTTCCAGAGCGGAGAGAAGGCAGTTCGGTGGCCCGTATCCCTATGGATATCCTTATGGGTATGCCGGGTATCCTGGAGGGCTTGGAGGGGTTGGAGGGGTTGGAGGGCTTGGTGGGCTTGGAGGGGTTGGAGGGCTTGGAGGGCTTGGAGGGTATGGAGGGCTCGGAGGGGTTGGAGGGCCTGGAGGTGTTGGTGGGGTTGGAGGGCTTGGAGGGCTCGGAGGACTTGGAGGACTTGGAGGGTATGGGACATACCCAGGCGTCTACGGAGGATACTACGGGTTTCCCGGGATCTACTCGCCGGTCATGCGATGGAACGTCTACCGGACGATCCTCAACGTCCTCGAGCAATACACTGCCCCTGCCATTTGAGGAACCGAGGGCGAGGCCTTCCGAGGAACCGAGGGTGAGGCCTTCTGAGGATTACCTCATGCGTTCTATTTATGATTGGGGGCGTGATTCGGGAATAAACTGCGTTACGACACGGCAAGGGCGACTTTGAATCGGAGGTGAAGGTGAAAAGATAATATCCTGTTTTTCTGAAGTGTCATCGAGACAAACAGCAATTACCGACGGTGTAAATCTGCATTTACAATGTCGATCGAACCTAATAGTGGACCGAAATTATTGTTCTTTTTAAGTTCTGGGTTCTCCCTGGGCTTTGGCATTATTGACCGAAGCTCCATTTTCGGGCAGCGGAAGCAATCGCCTGGATTTGTCCATGAATATCATTTTGCGTCAGCTTGAATCCAGGATTATCCAGGATAATCACTTCTTCCACCTCTGGCGAATGTGGACTGAACTTCGGCTCGGCTTCGGAAACTGTTCTTCAAATCACAAAAAGTTTTTTTTTCGGCAGACAGTTTTTTTTTTAATAGCTCCTGGTAAAACAAGAGGTAAGATTCCTTTTTTTTTAAATATGTATTCCTTCTGATATTGATAATGAAGTCTGATTAAATAATGCAAATGATACACTAGAATTGGAGTGAGAATTTTACTTGGACATTAACTGCGAATCGAGTCTGAAATGTCTATGCTCTTAGAAAAGACGCTTCCACGCATTCTCCAGGCATCCTCCCTCATTTTTCTCCCTCATTTTCCTCCCTCATTTTCTCCCTCATTTTCCTCCCTCATTTTTCTCCCTCATTTTTCTCCCTCATTTTCTCCCTCATTTTCTCCCTCATTTTTCTCCCTCATTTTCTCCCTCATTTTTCTCCCTCATTTTCTCCCTCATTTTCTCCCTCACTTTTCTTTTTCTTCTTTTGCGTCCCCTGGCATTTTGACCTTCAACGTCAATGACAATGCAGCAAAGAGAATCGCTCAAGATGATTGGGAGCACCTCGATTTCGATGAAGGTGACTCATCCTCATTTCCAGGAGGTGACCCGTCGCCCGCTCTGTTTTCCCTCTGTTCTCGCATGGCCTCGCGCTCTCGGGACGCCAGGAGTCCAGAAAGAAAGAAAGAAAAAAAAAAAGAGAAGCTAATTAGCTAAGGTGCTAATTATCGGATGGGGGCAACTTCATTCAGCATATTTGTTTCGGCTGAAAATGAAATAGAATGTAAATATAAATTAAATGAATGTTCTGATACTGTGAAATACTTTTTAAGGATGGAAAAAGTTCCATTGCGATTTCTATTTGCACTTGAGGCGAGGATGATCAGCCTGATATCGGCCAGAGGGCGATAATGGAACATAAAAATAATAAAATAAAAGATAAGAAGGCATAAAAGTAGCAAAAGGAAAATAATAAAGCAAATAAAATAACAAATGCATAAAAAAATTAAAGAAAAGATAAATATATATATTATAATATAATATATTATAAATCTGTTGTGAAAATTCACTCGCAGAAACTGCAGCGCAGAAACTTTAGCACGAAGAAAAATTGCACGCAGTTTGTAATGACACGGGAAAAAAAAATCTCTTTCAACGTTGAAACATTTTTTTCCCTCTCCGACGATGATCGTCAGAGTCCTTGCTCATGACCTTGAGGGGAAGAGAGGAAGAAAATCATCTACGAAGATGAGGAGGCGAGGCGCGGACGGGGGACGCCCTCCGCGCGTCTGAGGCGAAGAGGGAAGACGTTAAGATGGCATTAAGGTGGCATTAAGATGGCATTAAGGTGGCATTAAGATGGCACTAAGGTGGCATTAAGATGGCATTAAGGTGGCAATAAGGTGGCATTAAGGTGGCATTAAGGTGGGAAAGAGGAGAAGAAGCGAAAGTCAAGATCACCGGCGGAGTTCGCCTCCACCGCGGTCGGTTCATTCCCGGTCGATTCCGCGGCGTCCGCGGAACGATTCCGCGGAGGTCGATGATTCGAAAATTAATTCTCGAGTTCTCGTTCCCTTCGCATCTTTTATTATTTAAAGAAGGGGATTGATATGCGTTCCTGGAAAAATTTTTTTCAGTCCAGAAAATTTCGGCGACTTATAAAACTTGAAGCGATGAAAAAAACAACTCATAGTCGAAATGAATCAACAGCGTGAATATCATTTGGATTCACATTTGGGCCAGGCCCGTCCTCTTCGACCAGGCCCGCCCTCTTCGCCCAGGCCCGCCCTCTTCGCCTCAGGCCCGCCCTCTTCGGCTCGGGATATCGCCCTTGCCGGCCGTTGTGGATTTTCTGCAAGTCTGCACGACCCGACCCATAAAAGGGGGGCGACGGAAGTCCCGCATCCATCCGCTTCTCAGTGCGAACACGGACTCAGTCTTCCGACGATGAACTGCTTCCCTCAGGTACTGTCTAGTACTGTCAGGTACTGTCAAGTACTGTCAGGTACCTGTCCCCCCCAGATACCCGTTCGGCCCTGAAATTTTTTTTTTTCGTGCTTTCGATCGCGCGCGATGAATTGAAAAGCGATTTTGTTGCGATTGTTTTGCATTGCTATTTTTTCCTTCCCTTTTTCGATGGCAAGTCCTTATCGCAATACTTAGCGCCAACTGGTCCCTTCGAGGAATAACTTCATAACTATAAAATAGCATATCCATATTTGCAAACGCGGGATTCAGGTTCGAAGCGAAATTGAGACTTGCCACGAACCAGACCCTTGCGGAAAAATTTGCGGACGAGAGCAAAAGAGCGAGTTTTGCAGGCGGAAAAGGCGACGAGACTTCGTAGGATGCTCGCGGGAGCGGAAAAGGGCGAACGGCGCGGCCGCCATTGTGATTTTCAGCCAGTCGAACGTCTCACTTCCGATCGGGTCCGGCGCAGTTTCCGATTCGACTTAGATGCATTTGATATGGATTTAATATAAATAAATATGCTTTTCATATAAATAAATGTTTTTCATATAAATAAATATGCGTTTAATATACATAAATATGCGTTTAATATACATAAATATACAAACATATATATGAATATGCACTAATATATTCATCATGCATGTAGGGTGTGGCGAAAAAAAGGAATGACATTCAACCTTAATGTCTCGGCTCCCAATGGAGCCGATTTCTGAAAACCTTCCCCATGAGCGCGTTCTCCAGGCGATCCTCCAAAGCGATCGCCGAGTCAGCGATCGTCCGAGTCAGCGATCGCGTCGAGGGCGGACGGGAGCGACTGCTGGTCGCCGCGGAGTGGAGGCATTATTTTCCGCTCGTTTCAAATTTCCCTTTGGTTTCCTGAACGTTTCCTTAGAATTTTAGATGGGACGTCATTTATCATTTTGATTTGAGGAATTGTTTTTTTTTTTTTGCAGCTTTGTTGACTTTCGCATGAATGAAGGCATGTTTCATCCTTAGCAAATTTTGAGAGATTTTGAGACAAGCCATTCTGGATTGTTTGAACAATCCAAAGACGACCAGCCCAAAGACTCACCCTGTGTAAATATGTATTTATTTATTTATTTATTATTATTATTATTATATTTTTTTTTTGCACCGATTGTCGTTAGGTTTGAAGGCCTGCTTGTCGCATGCATGCACCTTTCAAGTCAGTTTACTGCGATGTTTACGCCGCTGCTTGTTTTTTTTTTTTCTGTCGCTGTGTCACGTTCCAACGTGTCTTTCGCCGCTTCATCGTTGCGAGACTGGTTCCAATGCACTAGTGTAAAAAAAGTTGTTAAAAAATTTTTTTTACAAAATTTCGAAAAAATTAGAATTTTTTTTTTTTATTAGAAAAAATTCGAAGCGCTGGAGCCTTCTTTCCTGCGATTAGCAAAGTGATTTTGGCCTGCACAAAAGGAGAAAAGTGTAGAACTTTTTTTTTTTTCATCTCTTGCCAAAACATGCGACGAGGCGTAACATAACCCCCGTCATCGGCGCTGACTCGCTGTCGAAAGGGAGAGCGGGAGCGGGCAGCGCGATGCACCATCAGCACTGAGATGCATCTGGCAGGGAAGAGTGAGGGCGATGTATTGTTGTCAATGCATCCTCTTCGTAGTTCAACGCGGAAACGTCTCACTGATGTTTGTCGTTTCACCTCTCAGCACATCCCATTTCACCTCTCAGCACATCCCGTTTCACGTCTCAGCACATCCCGTTTCACGTCTCAGCACATCCCGTTTCACCTCCGAACGGCATGAAAATCTGTTGCCTCGCGTTGCGATTTAACCTACAGGAATTAATTTATGAGAAAAGGATGCCGATTCGGATCATTGGAACTCTCGGATGACGGAAAGGGGGTCATGTTTTTTGCTGCTTCTATTGCTCAATCAAAAATATTATTTATTCAACTAATTTTTTTTTTAAAGCTCAAGTAATGGTTAGCAATGTTTAGCCATAAAACTTCAATCTATATCTGGAGATGTAAATTATTTCTTCCTGTGGGGGTTGCGATTGACCTCTTTCCGTCACAAGCGTAATAAAATATTACTGACATCCGAGGGTTACGGTAAAAAAATTCCATTATCTGTTCATGATCTGACGGCCCGACGTGATTCACAGGTGGTTCGGACGACGACGCTGCTGCTGCTCCTCGTCGCCTCGACGGCTGGCTCCAAGAGACAATACTACAGTCCCTATGGAGGGTATGGAGGATACCCCGGAGGGATTGGAGGGTACACAGGAGGGATTGGAGGATACCCAGGAGGGATTGGAGGATACCCAGGAGGGTATGGAGGGTACACAGGAGGGTATGGAGGATATCCAGGAGGGATTGGAGGGTTCAGAGGAGGGTATGGAGGATACCCAGGAGGGTATGGAGGGTTCACAGGAGGATATGGAAGATACCCGGGAGGATTCGGAGGGTACCGCGGGGGATACCCGAGCCTGCTGGGGATCATCAACCGGGCCCTTCTCAGGGCCCTCACCCGATACCCGCTTTTCTGAATCCCTGCCCCATCTCTTTGTGTCATGCTGGGGACGATTTTTCGGGAATAAAAACTCACTACTCAACAAAAGGAAAGATGCATTTCCATTCAAATAGTATAAATGAAACAAGTTGATCGTGGCATCGTGCGAAATTTGGAGAATTTTGACGACATGTCAAAAACACGAATCAGGCATGTCATGTCGACACGTCGACACGTCTCATTCCAAAATGCAGCGATTGGTTGGTGAAACTGCAAGCCAAATATATTTCTCGCATGAAGGTGTCCAACATGGATACGTTCGAATTGAACGGCAATTTTGACTTGTGATTCACATTACGTTAAGCGAGGACAGGTTTAGCTTTTCATTTTCGTTTTAGCGAACCGCCTTTCGCCAAAAGAAAAGCTCTAGAAGCAAGCATGTCCTTAAAAAAAATTATATATACATATTAAAAGATAACCTTAACCTTGAAAACGTATTATTTAGTGGCAGGTCATTCGTTCTCAAGATGATTCAGCAGAAATAAATTATTCCGGTCATCCACGTAATGAACCAGGAGAGAAAACGAAGGTGGAAGATGGCCTCCAAGGTGCCTGGGGAAAACCCTAGAGGAGGAAAGAAAAAAGGCGGAAAAAAAGGGAGGAAAGCGTCGTCACGACGACTCACGCGTTCTCCTGCCATCGGCGGATCGCCGCCTGTCGACGATGAATCGATCTTCGGTTTCATGCAACGAATAGAAATGAAGGCAAGATTCATTAAGTTGACTCGAGTTACTAGTTATATTCGGCAATCACGGCTAAAAAGCGATTAAGACTTTAAGCGATTAAGACTTTAAGCGATTAAGACTTTAAGCGATTAAGACTTTAAGCGATTAAGACTTTAAGCGATTAAGACTTTAAGCGATTAAGACTTTAAGCGATTATTTGATTCATCTAATGGAATTGGCAGATGTGAAGATTCGAGGCGACTTGATGCTTCCGCGGATCGGTCCGCCACTGGATGAGACGGGATTTTCGCGCTTCTTCAACCCGGATGCGTCGGTGACAACCGGCGATTTTCCGCCGATCGGCCACTGCATGACCACCGAGGGTTTGAAGAATAATGAGGATGACGAGAATAACGAAGACGATCATAAAAAGGGCGAGGCAGAGGGGGAACAGCCAGTATGCTGACTCCGGACCGCTCCCAGTGCGAGATCGACCCCGCCTCTCCTCCAAGATGAGCTGGCCTCTTCAGGTAAAATATTCCGTCTCTCGAGTAACCGAGTCCGCTTCGGCGACCGTTCGCGAAGAGTTCAACTCTTTGAGTTTCCGTCGATGGGCGGCGAAGCGACCATGCAGGGTGATGGAGATTATCCGATAATCCGTTAAAGATGCGCTTGGAAGCTTCGCTCACGTGATAGATGGCATTTGTTTTGATCCCCAGCGCGGAAAAGTTGCGGGTCTAGTTTTACTATTTTCCCACTTGATATGAACAGCCACCGAAGGCTAAAAAGGCCCCAATATCTACCCAATGTAACTTAGATTACATTGATATGTTTAACAGCATGCCAACGCAGGAGCTCTGGTCCCACTGACAATATTTTCCTGTGTTCTCGCTTACCGAAGTGAAAGAAGAACGAGCATGTAGGGCAGCTTCAGTCCCTTCGAACGCGAATGACAGGGATAGAGGAAGAATAAGCATGCGGGGAAGCTTCAATGTCTCCAAAGGACAGGGACAGGGATAGAGGAAGAATGAGCATGCGGGGAAGCTTCAATGTCTCCAAAGGACAGGAACAGGCAAACCTTTCTGCTTCTCATTCAGTTTTGGATTCCATCTGAAATCTCTCCAAACTCCAACATTCAGATTCTGAGGGCTGGGTGGGCTATTCTCTCAGTCTGTATTGAAACTCACAGTTCATAAGTTTTTGGTTCAGTGGAAGAGAACTCCTCGCTGATCTCGCAGGGAGATTTCTCCGATTTCATTGAACCAGATGATCGAAATGTGCGGTCTACGCTGAATCCTCAGCCGTGTGAGATTGCCAGAAGTATGTGCCGGTATTTTCTGGTTATGCGATGAAAGCAGATATTTCCACTAGTTGGTGCCTGAAAGTAAGGCTTTTCAAGTTTGAATGAATTTGGGAACGAGAGTGCGATCCTTCTTGGATTGGAGCAGGGCAAGGAGATTCCTGGGAGAATAACATTCCTGTGATTGTGATTCCTGGGGAAATTACCTCTGTATTGGATACACTATTGCATCACTTTTCTGCCTAGTTAACAATCGCTTCGGTTCAACTTCCAAGTTCCCAACTTGTGAGTTACTTCAGGTTTTCGGTTCGGTTAAGCGCTAGAGCTGTTTCTGTTTTCTGTAACTGGGGCTTAATCGATATCGGCACGAGAAGCGCGGAACTCCCTTATCCACCGCTTTCAACCCGCCAGCTCACAAAAGACGCCAAGATTCGCCACTTTTCGAAGGCAGCCAGCACAGATCAACAAAAAATATTTTTTATTTTTATGAATTTATATATTTGTTTTTTTTTATTATAAAAAAATTCATGGTGAAGTTCGCAAGCCTGCTTCATCAGCTAAAAAACGAAAACGAAGGCTTTGGCATAATACTAAAAAAGATAAATCCCGAATTGCAAATCACCTGGTATTTGGCATTTCGAAGTTCTGTTTTTGCGGATTCACGGAAACGAGTCAGAAGAAACGTGGTTAGCTTCCTCATTTCATGATGAGAACTCTGGGATAATTTTCCTCTTCATATGAGGAATGGATCTCCGATAAGGCAGGAGGAAACTCTGCTTGCAGAAGGATTTGCTCCAGCAAATATTGTCTTAATTTGTCTTAATATTTTTTCGATTCCTCTTCTGCCAATATTTTTTTCATGAATGGGCAATATATATTTTTTATGAATAGAAAATTACCTGTACCATGGCTAAAAAAGTTCGTACTTATGATTCCCCAGCGGCAGGGAAGAGCAAGATTCCAGAAAAAGTTTTAACAGGATAAGAAAAAATGTTTATGCTGCGTATTTGAAATCTACTGAAGTTTCTCCGTTACGTCCTTCAATCCAATGCTCTGCTCCACGAAAGACGGAGGAAATGGATTTTAAAATTTAAGAATTTATTTTAAAGATATTGGAGTTTAAGATTTTTTGGAGCACCCATTACACTAGCAGGAATTGAGTGCAGTTAGAATATTTAGCGGAATCTACGCCGATGCACTTGCGCGAATTGACGACTCGTTTGGGTCGGATTGCTGCGCAGGTCGTCCGATCGACCGTCCTGCTTGCTGTGCTGCTGCTGCTGCTCCCAGGCACGTCGGCCAGGCCCAAGCAGGCCCAGAGGAGGCACCACAGTCCCTACGAAGGGCTGATCGAATTCGGAGGACTTGGAGGGTATGGAGGGTATAGAGGATATCCCGGAGGGTATGGAGGGTTCGGAGGATATCCAGGGTACTACGGTGGGTACGACCCCCTGCGAGGATACATCAACAGGTCGGTCCTCAGGGCCCTCTATCGATACGGCGCCACACCTTACAGCATGTACGGCTTCCCCTACGGACGCTGATTCCGAGCGACTGGATGTGAAACCTGAGCTACTGGATGTGAAACCTGAGCTACTGGATGTGAAACCTGAGCTACTGGATGTGAAACCTGAGCGACTGGATGTGAAACCTTAGCGACTGGATGTGAAACCTTAGCGACTGGATGTGAGGGCTGAGCGACTGGATGTGGAGGCAGATCGGAGAATCTTTCGTGACGTGGATGATTCCGGAATAAATTTTCTGCTTCGTAACTCTTTGGAAAGGGTGATTTTGAACGGGAGAAGGGAAATTTTTGGCCCAAGAAAAATTTCACGTCGAATCTGTTTCGTCATTATGAATAAATGAATTTGATGGTGACAGGTGGTGCATGCATTGCTGGATGGCAAAAGTTGGAGTTTTGGCTTGCAAAACTCCAACAAAAAAAATTAGCATGGTCGCTGGCAAAATGTTAATTGAAGCGTTCAAGGTTCATCAGCGGTAGCTCAGTAAATCTTGACTATTTTTTTTTCAAACCCGACAAGGATCATGCAGCACTGCGAGAAAGAAGAAAAAGAATTATCCTTCAATTGCCCTCATTTACTCTTAATTGCCCTCATTCGCATATCGAGCGTCGCTCGAAGCGGAAAAATTAATTAAAATCGCCATATTTTTCCCCCGACTAATTAGCATCTACAAGAGCATAATTACGTGCAAATTTGCGAGAATTTGCACGCAATTACGCTTTTGCAATCATGCACGTTCCAAAATGAAGCCGGAAAAGACGGCAGAAAAAAAAGGAGGCTTTTAACGAGACGACGATGCCTCGAGTTCCAGACTTCATCGTCGGATCTTTTCCGAGCTCCTTCTGATCCAGGAGCAGATGCAGTGCCGATGTCGCCGTTTATTTCAACCCTTAATTACTCGCGCTGGTGTATTTCGTACACCATTCGCGTGAGATGTTCTTCTTGCAATGACTTTGTCTGCAAAGAACATTCCAAAACTGATGTGAAATGTGATGCATGTGCACATCCTACAACGGACGAAAGTAACTAGAGAAGAACTGGCTGGGTTTGTATGTAATTTCATACCATATTACTGAATAAATACTGTCTATATACACTGGTGTATAAAGTACACCGTGCGAGTAGTTATGACATGAGACAGGGCGCGAGTAGTTGAGGGTTAAGTTAGAGGGAAAAAATTGAAGTGAAATTTGTTTTAATTATCGATCGTATCAACAACACAGTTCAAGTAAGACGGCCATTAATCATTAATCTCATTAATGAAGCTAATTCAAACCGGTTAAACGGAGGTTAAACATATAGCGTGTGCGATTCTGTCTGTGTGTGTGTGTGTGTGTGTGTGTGTGTGTGTGCGTGTGCGTGAGCGTGTGTGCGTGTGCGTGTGTGTCTGTGTGAGTGTGTGACAGCTCTACAGGCCAAACGCTTAGAGATATCAACTTGGGGTTTCGACAGAACTCTTCCTCACCATTTGAGGATGTGCCTTAGAGGCCAGAGGAAAGGGAAAGGAGGCAATTTTCATCGGAAATCGTAGAGAAATCTCTCGTCTCGCCATCTTTCGGACGAACACGGAAACGAGAGTTGCCGTGGTTCACGGATGGGATCGTTGGCATCGCTCACGGCTGTGCCACTCGCCTGCTGCCGTGAAATCCAGGGACTTCAAGGATCCACGATGAAATGCCAGGTGATTTCCTCAGCTCGTTCGCAACTTGCGTTCATACGGGCTTTCGACCGAGAAACCCATCACCCTATTGCCTCGTTTGTTTCCAGGACTCTAGAATCAAATGAGACCTGCAGGCTTCGCACGTATGACATTGCCCAAGTAGCATATGAACATTTTCGTGGACGGTGAGCATTTTCTCATTTTCTCTTTGGAAATCCAGTGTACAAGAGCGAGCACCTTTTTTGGCGCTCGATTGAAAGGTGCCTCTGCGTCGCGAAACGAACGTCGAACGTTTCAGACGTTTTCCTGGTGCATGTCAATGTCATCCATCTGACACCGGCCGAAAGCAAAGATTCACAAAACCGACGCTGGATGGCGCCGAAGTAGTCGCTGTAGCGGGTCAGATCCTGATGCAGCTGGAATTAGTCACCGGAACTTTCCGCGATGCAGCCGATCTTTCTTCGCATAGAGCAGAGCAGGAGAGACTCGAATTCTTGAATGAATCCGTCATCAGAGGTGAGCCAGTCCAATGAGTTTCCAGAGAACACTGGCGCGAGCGACAGAGGGAGCATGGTTCAATTTCCAATATGACTACACTCATCACCGTCTCGCACATATAAAGGGGTATGTTCATATGAGAGTGTACAGTTGATAGGGGCCTCCCCTATGGCGGGAGTCGCCGTCTTGTTGAAGTCGCACGAACGTGGTTTTTTAGAGTAGACACATGGAGAGAGGAGGAGAACAGAAGCAAGTTGCCCCAGGCCATATGCCTGGGTACCTCCACGTCGGGACCCAACAAAATCGCGAGATATTCATTCACGCGGGCGGGACCGTCCCACGATGGCGGAGGCCTCTCCAGAGACATCTATATGCACTCGATGGGTATTGCTGACGGGGATGTCGCACACTTGAATGTGAAATAGCGGATGATGAGATAAAAACGTATTGAATTTAAATTTCCGCACGTTTCTCCACCACACTCTTCCGGACAATGTACTGTACCATCGATACTACCGATCGGCAACATTTAGGCACTTAATCCGAGCCACGTGAGCAGGGCTTTATGTGAGATCGGTATTGCTAGAAGGAAGTGGGGATGCAATAATTGTGGAACACGAGACGTCGTGTCCAGTCGTTGAACCGACGGATGAGCGACGACTCGTGGATACATGCGTAGTCGTGAGCTGGCTTTTTCCCGGATGAAGCAGCGCTTCTAGATTTGTATCAGAGTGCTCGGCTGTCGAAGCCCCTAGCGTGACGACGGAGTTAAAAATTCGTGGTGTGATGGGTGAGGATGCATGAGCCGGAACGAAATGATGGAGTTCACGTTGCTCTCCAATCTGCGAAATGGAAATGTTTCTAGGGAAATGTTTATCGTTTGGGTACCTACGAGGGAGAAAGACTCACTCGGGTCTGGTTCCTGGTCGCTGCGTCCGCGGACGCAGGTAAGACGAGGGGCATAGGGTTCCTCTATCACTGCATCGTGGTGGGTGCCATCATCGCCGCCTGGGCCGTCAATGGGGTTCGCGTCGCACGTCGGACACCGGCGGTCTGCGACGCCTCCGACTGTTTCCTCGCGCGGGGCTCTCGCGATGGGAGAGCTGGGTCGGACGCACTGCACGGACGTTTTGCTCGCTCTCGCACTGAGCGTCGTCGTTTACGGCAGGATTTTTGCCATGACCTCACCCAAGCAGCATGTTCACTTAAACAATATATCAATTTTTTGCAAACAATATAAATTTCTTGCGATTGTCATGAAAATGACATCACGTTTACGTAAAATTTACGTTCCTTTATTTACGTCACCAAAGTGTACGTATATCTTACATCAACAAGACGTCACTCTATCTGACGTGAAGTACATGATATCAAGTTCATGATAAATTAACACCACACCATCCATATGGAACTTTAGCTGACTATCCTGCAGTTGCAGTACCAAGATTCCTCACTAGATGGAACGCTTGTTCCCTGCATCCTACGATTACTATTAAGTACTGGTTTTCGAATTAAAAATTCGTGGTGTGATGGGTGAGGAAGCATGAGCCGGAACCAAATAGTGGAGTTCACGATCCAATCTGCGAAATGGAAATGCCTCTAAAGAAATGTTTATCGTTTGCTGGCGGATGAACGATGATTCGGGCATTCGTTACTGCGCGGGCATGAACGCGTTTTTTTTTTTCCCGGATGAGGAAGCGCTTCGAGATTGGAATCGGGGTTCTTGAAATAGCGGCGGGAGGAGCGAGGAAGAATGAGCATTAAGAATGTCTGAAGCCCTTTCAGAGTCCCTTTGGGTGATCTCCATGCTCGTCGGTGCTGATCGGATCGACGATGGGAAAATAATAAAAGTAAATAACAAAGGACGCAAAGCAAAACAGGACATGGGCAAAAAATGGAGCTGTTGTTTCGCTTCCGATAGCGAAACAACAGCTCCATTTTTTCCGGCAACTCCGACGAGGATGGAGATCCCCAAAAGGACTCTGAAAGGGCTTCAGACAATCTCAATGCCGTCTTCCTCGCTCTTCTTGGCGCTATTTCAAGAACCCCGAATCCAATCTCGAAGCGCTTCCTCATCCGGGGAAAAAAAGACGCACTCACGCCCACGCAGTAACGAATGCCCGAATCATCGCTCATCCGTCAGTCCTCCGCCTCGACACGGCGCCGGTCAAAATTCACGCAATCGCGTTTCGTCCATGCAAAATCGTTTTGATTCGTCGCCTTCAGCAGTAAACTCATACCGACGATGTGGCAGCTCCTCCACATCGCTGCCATCGGTCTAATCGTGCAGCACTGGGATGAGGGTAGATTAATGTGTATCATATGATAATGTGTATGATTGATTAACTAGTGGCAGGTAAAACCTGCTGCAAACCGCAGGAAAGGAAATACTCCGTTCTCGTGGAAAGAAGGACCACGATCTTCAGAGACCACCACCCAAGTGGGACCCGAACGTGTTCGATGAACGGTTCATTCAAGTTGTGGCCAGCGTTCCATTAATGTCCTTGGAAACGTTCTATTAACTGCTTAAATGTGCAAAATTTAAAGCAATGAGAAACAGTTCAAATTGTGCTTTCCTGGAACTACGTGAATTAAATATTTCCATAGGAACTGTTCGATAAAACTTTTATTAGGATTCATCCCATATACAATTAACATTTTGAATAGGTTCTTTTCATCGCTTAAATTGCATCGAGTCTAAGTAAAGCCCTGCTCACGTGGCTCGGATTAAGTGCCTAAATGTTGGCGATCGGTAGTATCGATGGTACATTGTCTGGGAGAGTGTGGTGGAGAAGCGTGCGGAAATTCATATTCAAATGGTTAAGTTTTTATCGTTTCATCAGCCATCTCACATTCAGGTGTGAGACATCCCCGTCAGGAATGCCCATGGAGTGCATATAGATGTCTCAGGTGAGGCCTCCGCCATCGTGGGACGGTCCCGCCCGTGGGAATGAATATATCGCGATTGGGTT